TTCTCAAGATCTCAAATTAATATCACAAATATAAAATATTACAAAAAGTCCCATCATCTTTACCAGTTCAAACACCTTACAAGTTCATTCAGTCTCTGTAAAAATCCCAAGTCCTTTTTAAAATTTAAAGTCTCTCAACTGTGAACTCCTATGAAATAACAAATAACCCAAATATTTCTTACTTTAAGAGTGAGGTACCTGGGCACAGTCACAATCTGAACAAAGCAAAGCCAAAATTGAACAGTGTAAATCACTCAATGTCCAATATCTGGAATTTACTTAGGATCTTATGGACTCCTCCAAAAGGGCTTGGGCAGTTTTTCTGGATCTGGGGCAGGCTCCACTCCACTGCTGCTGCTGCTCATCTTGGTGGTTATCCCACAGTACTGGCATCTCCAAAATGCTGGGAGCTCTTGCTATAACCCCAATTTACTTTAACCAGTTGCTTCTCCTGGGCCTTTTTCAGGGACTCCAGCCCTCCCACACAGTGCCAAGCCTCAGCTGTTCTCAGTATGCTGACTCTAAGGAAACACTTCCCAGAACATTTCACTTCAGTGATGCTGGTCTCTTCTTAATCACCACTGATGATTTCTTCCCTCCAGCCCACCACCATCAATTGTCCCAGTAAAGCAATGGTTTTACTTCAGTGGCTGTGGTCTTTTATCAATCACAGCTGTTTATTTAGCTTGAGTTGATCAGAACCACAGATTCTGCACACTAATGGTCCAGTAGATTCTTCCCTCTGAACCTTCCCAAGCCTCCATTGTCTGCTCTGTTCTCAACACTCTAATCTTCCAAGCTCCTCCAGAGCAGCCTGCTGAACTCTCAACAGTCAATGGCTGTTTTAGCCCAAAGTTCCAAAGACCTTCCACAATGCTCCCCAAAACAACATGGTCAGGTCTGTCATAGCAACACCCTACTATCCTGGCATCAATCTCTGCCTTATTTAGGGTTTCTGTTGTAATGAAACACCATGACCAAAAGCAACTTGGGGAAGAAACAGTCTATTTGGCTTACTCTTTTACATGGTAGTCCATCATCAAAGGAAATCAGGACAGGAACTCAAAACATGGCTGGAACCTGGAGATAGGAGCTGATGTAGAGGCCATGAAGGAGTGCTGCTTGCTGGCGTGATCTTCATGGCTTCCTTTGTACCAGCCCAGGGATGACCCCACCCACAATGGCCTGAACCCTCCTCCATCAATCACTAATTAAGAAAACGCACTACAGGCTTGTCTACAGCCCAGTCTTATGGAGGCATTTTCTCAATTTGGGTTCCCTCCTTTCAAATGACTCTAGCCTGTGTCAAGTTGACATAAAATTAGCCAGCACACAGAAGTTATAATGGTAATGCCTAGTTATTAAGGAGTATGTGAAAGAAAGTCTATGGGGGAATGAGCTGTAATTAGTTGTGGATTTGAGAATTTAGGCTTGAGTTTATGATATTTGATTATTCAGAGTTAAAAAGATTTGATAAGTATGGCTCTTTTTGTTTGACTAGTGTCATTTCCAACTATAGATCCATCTAAATGATCATGTTGGTGCTTTCTTGGTGATTCTTATCTTCTGTATTCATTATATTTTCAACATTCTCTCATCCTGGAATCCATGTTGTTTTGTGGTTTATAATTGCTTTTAAAGAAAGCTTTTTCATTAAAAGGAAAAAAAACCCAGCCTTGATCTTTAAATAGTTGTAATCAATCAACCTTTCTCACTGAAGTGAGTTGACTATATAAATTCCATTCCTTTGGCTATTGTAATACATGAAAATTAGGAATTTTCTCATAAAATATTAATAACTTCCTTTATGAACATGAGTCAGGTGTACAACTGCTAACAGATTGTTTGTATAAAAGTTTTGTTCGACACACTTGCTTTGTAACTTACTATAAAACACCTCACTTATATAAGGACTAGGTCAACTGAGCTGAATTACATCTATTTCTGTATTGATGACGGAAATTACAATCTACATTTATTGTTTATTTTGATATATGTGTTAAAAAACACCATTGGTTTGGCTCGATTCAGAGGTTTTTACACACTCATTTACTAATTCAGTTGTACCTTTTTCTTTTTCCTGTAGACTCAGCCTTTCACTCGAAATGAACTTAGTTAAATTCTTGGGTTTCTAAATTTGTAGTAGGAATTTTCTGTTTTAAAGAATCAGATTCATCCTGATGTGAAGTCATAGCTCTGTTTTGGTGGCAAACACACAGTTAGGCATGCCAGTCTATCTGAGCTATGTAGAACCCAGACAACCATATAACTTTATTATGGCATTGTGTTCTATGGTGCATGCTTGGTGTGTCGTAGTACAAAGCAAAGTTTGTTTTGCAGTATGGCAAGTTGTGGGACATGCAGACCCTGTGGTTTATGGAAAGCTTTGTCATTAGGTGCCTTAGAGCAAAGTCTCTCTTGCTGTGTTCCACGCAGAGGGGCAAGGCTTTTCAAAAGAGAGAATGCTGGGCATGCTTGCAAGCACTTGCTTACATCATGGGCAGGAAGATGTTGGTTGCCTCACGAATGTATGAATTAGTAAGAACTCTTAAAGGAGTACTGTTTTTTTTTTTACTAATGGTTAGGTGTTTTCCCAATATGTACATTGTTTATAGTGCTGTCATGTTTGTTCAGGAAGCATTGAAGTGAGGCTTCATGGTGTTTTCCACCTCTATGAGGATGTTGGAAAATGAAGTCTGTGCATGGGCCAGGGAAGCGCATGGGCCGGGAAGCGCATGGGCCTGGGAAGCGCATGGGCCTGGGAAGTGCATGGGCCGGGAAGCGCATGGGCCTGGGAAGTGCATGGGCCGGGAAGCAGTTGGATTATCTAGTGCAGTCATGGTCATGAGCACCTCACTGGAAATGAGTTTGCCCCTTCCCGTTATGTTTCATTGTTTGCTAAATTGTCCTCCCAGCAGCAGAAGATCTGGTTAATTTTCATTTTGTTAGTTTTAGAAATTAGATATCGAGATTTTAGAAAGTTTTTTCCCATCTTCAGTTACTCTGAATATATGCAAGGTAATGCCTTCCACCGTCATGGTAGAATAGCAGTTCCGCCCATACCGGGGTGGCTCAGTCCACTTTGTCCTCTGTGTCCCTGTGTTGCTGTCCATGGCTGTCCCTGAATTGTTTATTTCTACACATAGAGGGGTTCCGTTACAGTGAGACATGCTCTGATTTATTTTTGTGCTATGAAAATTAGTATATTTGTTTTTAAATTTTAATTTTTTGTGTATTCGTGTGTATATAAGTAATGTTTGGACTTGCTTGTGGCCTAGGGTGCACGTAGGCGGAAGTCAGAGACAATTTGGGAGATAGATCTCTTCCACTCTCTGAACCGTGGGGACGGAGCCCAGGTTGTTAAGCCTTCTGGCAAGTGCCTTTACTTGCTGGGCCTGTATTTTTACCTTGTGAATGTTTGTGTTTGTAGTTGTATATGCCATAGAATGCTTGTGGAGGTCAGAGGACAACTTTAGATGCAGGTATTTTCATAGTTTTTCTCACTTAAGAATAGGCTGCAGACACTGTAGACAGAGTAGTTGCTGTTACCTTTTTAGACCTATGGCACTTTCCCAGTTTTCAAATATAATAAAGACCATCGAAATTTAATAGCATTATGCTTTCGATAAAAATTATTAACTGGCCAGAAAAGTATATAGATCCTTAACTGTTCGTGTGTATTAAGGTATCTTTTAATTTTTGAGAGGGCTGGCTTAGAACTCCTCATATGTGAGAGTTACAGGTATGCGCTGCCACACCTGACTTCAGCTGTGCAAAAAGTTTAATTTACTTTTAGTTTTTATTTTTGTGCATTGTGAGTTGAATCCTTGAAGACTGCTGTGTGTGGTATTTTAAAATTGCACTTTTTCATTTTCCTTCATTTTCCAAGCTCTGATGGTAAATTTATGTATACCTTGTATCTAGTGACCTTGATCAGTCCATGTATGAACCACAACACTTGTCTTTAATGTCCGGGGACATTACATGTATCTTTTCTCTTTATACTGTTGAGCTTTATACACACCCAACCAGGTTTTAAGCAAATAAAGGCAGCATTCTTTCCCATAAAATGTATTTTCATTTATACATAGAATCTACCTATCTTGATAAACTGAATCATTCACTTTCTGCCTAATTTTAGCATCACATTTCCAGTATTTTACATTTATATGCATTATCTACTAATTTTATTTGTTCATTTTAAGCTATTTTAATCCCTTTTTAAAAAATGTATTTATTTTTATTTTATTGATGTTTTGCCTACATGTATGTCTGTGTGAGGGTGTTGGATCCTGGAGTTACAGATAGTTGTGAGCTGCCATGTGTGTGTTCTGAATTGAACTCAGGTCCTCTGGAAGAGCAGCCAGTGCTCTTTCCCTCCGAGCCATCTCTCCAGCCCCACTAGTCTCTTACTACACATTTTTAGTATTGGTGGGTGTGATCCCTTCTTAGTTCCTTTAATAAGATTAAGAAAATATTTCTTATAGTGAACATGTTTACCAATTTGTTTATAAAATCGTCATCTTCTTCATTCCATTCCTTCTACGTCCTTCCCTGCCCTGGAACTCACAGAGATATACCTGCCTCCCCAGTGTTGGGATTTTAGGCATGTACAACGTATTTGGCCTGCCTTTTGAGTGCCAGGATTAAAGGTTTGGCTCGCCCAGCTTGGCCCGATGCTACGTTTTTAAAAATGAGTTGCCTTGGGTGGATTACTTTTATTTTGTGTTATAACCTTTTAATTTCTTTCTTTTCTTCTTTTTTGTTTGTTTTTGTTTTTTGAGGCAGGGTTTCTCTGTGTAGCCCTGGCTGTCCTGGAACTCCCTCTGTAGACCAGGCAGGCCTCAAACTCACAGAGATCTGCTTGCCTCTCTCTCCCAAGTGCTGGGATAAGGGGTATGCCACCACTGCCCGGCTTGAATGAATTTCTTAATGCCATGTACTAAGGACATGTGTGGTGTGCTCTCTTCTCCTTTCTTAAAGTCGTGTTTGTTTTTTAGGACAACACCACCGTACTGCTGTGTGGATCTGTATTCACTGCGTACTGGGGAAATGGTGAAGTCTATTCAGTTTAAAACACCCATTTATGATCTTCATTGTAATAAGCGGTAAGTAGTTTTCATATATTTATTTTCAAATTGTAATGTGCCTCCTTGACATGTGGAACACTACCAATTTTGTGACTTCAAGTCATTGGAAAAAGTTTTAATTTCTTTCCAGTCAAAAAGTTAAGATTTCACATGGAATGCTTTCCAGCTTCCTGACCTAACCATGAGTAGTGAGATATGAATGGAATTTACCTAACAAAATGGAGGAGCACAGGTAGTATCTGTGAGAATACAGGAAAGCCAGGTATTGGAATGGTATACGTCTCTCCGTTTTCAGTGCTGAGCGTCAAGCCTGGCTTGTTGCATAAGTTGCTAGGCAAGCATCTGACCATTAAACTTCAGTCTAAGACCTTGAGTATTATTTTGAAATAATATTTGGTTAGAGGACTTATTGGGCTGTCCCCAGCCTCTCATTTTACACTATTTTGATGCAAAGTCTCAACAAGTTTCCCAGGCTGGCTTTGACCTTGTTATCCTCCTGGCTCAGCCTCCCCAGTGTTGGGATTTTAGCCATGTACACCATATTTGGCTGTAGCTAGAGTTTTCCTGCCTTGTCCACAGTCAGGACAAATCTCTGCCACCCACCAGTCCCACAGCCGCTCAGACCCAACCAAGTAAACACAGAGACTTATATTGCTTACAAACTGTATGGCTGTGGCAAGCTTCTTGCTAACTGTTCTTATATCTTAAATTAACCCATTTCTATAAATCTATACCTTGCCACGTGGCTTGTGGCTTACCGGCATCTTCACATGCTGCTTGTCATGGCGGCGACTAGCAGTGTCTCCCTGACTCAGCCTTCCACTTCCCAGAATTCTCTTTTCTCCTTGTCCCGCCTATACTTCTTGCCTGGCCACTGGCCAATCAGTGTTTTATTTATTGACCAATCAGAGCATTTGACATACAGACCATCCCACAGCATTTGGTCTTCAATGTTTTTGTATATTTTTAATCCTTCACATTTTACAACAGAGTTACAAACAGGGATTAGATCCATTTTCCTTCTTTCAGATTGTGGGAAGATATTCAAATGTAGATGAAGCGACCTGAATTCTAGTGGTAATGACATGTTAACTACGGACTCTTAAAGAAGGAAGACTTGGGAATTTCTTCTGTGCACCACTTTGCTTGCACAGGAGAGGACGCTGAATAGGATGTTAAATATCTTGATTGAGTCTTGGGTATAAGGTGTAAATCTTCTGCCCCCAAGAGCCAACACATGAGGCAGGGAAGGGGCTCTGTGAGCAGAGGTTCCTGCTTGCCAACAAGCATTAGGACTTAATTCTGATTCCCAGAACCCAGGGAATAGCTGGAGGTGGCTGTCACCCCGGGACTCCTAAGGCAAGGTTGGAGGTAGGACCAGATCGTGGAACTCAGTGGCCAGCTAGCCTGGAATACATGGTGCCTCTAATGACATCTGCGGTTGTCCTCTGATCTTCACACATATCCACACACATGTTGTGATATGTGCATGCCAACCGACATCATACAAATGAAAATGAATAAATACACACACACACACACACACACACACACACACACACACACAATCTAAAAGGGCAATGCATGAGACATGAGAAATTCTTTTGTGTGTTAGAGGTCCTAAATTCAATTCTTACCACTGAAAACAAAAGGGAAAATTACGTGTGGACTTGGTACTAGTGGGTAAATTCAAATTCAAGGACAACACACTGCGAGTTGTAAGAGGCAGAAGAAACACTTAATGAACCAGTGCCAGTATAATGAGTCCACCCCACTTCATAGAAAACTGTGTGTGGAATGGTTTGCATCCAATAGATAATATAGTTTACCCAGAAAACCGCCCATCCTGTCTCAAATAGACTTATTAAAAAAGCAACATTAGCACATTCTAAATAGAAGACTTTCAGATTACACTTTCTTTACATTATAAATCCACAAAAATCCACACAGAGTAGCAACAAAACTTTTTTGTTTAAATAGTTTTCAGAGCTTAAGTTAGAGAGGACATCAAAGTTAGTAATTATATATCATTTAAAAATTAATACCAGCTGGGCGGTGGTGGTGCACACCTTTAATCCCAGCACTTGGGAGGCAGAGCCAGGCAGATCTCTGTGAGTTCGAGGCCAGTCTGGGCTACCAGGTGAGTTCCAGGAAAGGCGCAAAGCTACACAGAGAAACCCTGTCTCGAAAAACAAAACATAAAAATTAATACCAAAATGTGTGTGTTTCAGAAGTTGAAGAGCTTCATAGAAATGCTTCTGGTTACCCCAAGATGCACATGGTCGGCTGTATCTGAACCTGCCTTTCTTCAGAAAGCACACAGATCTATAAAGGCAGTGCACAAAATCACCAGAGCTGTAGCACATGATGGTTCAGGAGCGAATCCTGTAACTGCATAATGGCAAATCTGAGATCAGCAACAAGTGTTCAAGAGCCCTCCTAAGAAATGATTGGCAGTTGTATGGCAGGAAAATGGACATGGTGCAGAGGGAGGGGTTATGTGCAGGAACAGATGTTCGTGCAAACCCCTTTGAAGTGCAGCAGACAGTTTTCTGAGCACAAGGAAGTATACAAAGGGTGGGTGGCAGCAGTGACTCAGAGGACCCTCCTGCTCCTCTCAGGTAACAGCATTGAAGTCGGTGGTCATTCTGGACAGGCTCCACCGAGGGCTCCTGACCTGTTGAGGGTGGACCAGATATCTAAATCTTCAAACTTAGGGTAGGGAGTTGCTGTACACGAGGAGGTTTATTCAGGGAGTTCTGTGAATGTTCTGTTATCTCCACTTGATTTTGTTGATGAGACCCCAGTGTGGTTTTTCAGTAATTGGATAGTTTACACTAAGCAGCTCTTGTGACTGGAAAACATTCTTAGATGCTTTTATACATTGCTTTCTGTCCTCACAGTTCAATCATCTGCCTTGAGTGTAAGGCTTACCATGCACGTCACATGTCTAGAGCAGCATGAGAGTGGCAGTCCGCAGGTCATAGGCCAGGCCTCCCTGTTTGCTGCCTTACGTGGGTTAGTGTGTGGATCTGAGAAAGGCGGTGTAAGGATCCGATGCTGGGGGTGGCCGACACAAAGTCAAAGTCAGACCCTGAGATGGCTGAGTAATAGGAGATGCAGCAACAGGAGGCAGGGGATGGAGCCTTCTTCTGTTCCTCCCCCGCCCCCCAACTGAGGGCCGAACTCAGGGCCTTGTGCTTGCTAGGCAAGCATTCTACCTCTGAGCTAAATCCCCACCCCGCCTTCTTATATTCTAAAATATCGCCCAGTGTGGAAGCGAGCAGAGGCCAGGCATGCCAGTCCTTGTTAATAAACACAAGTAAGCCTAAATCACCTATAGTAAAATTTTCAGATGTGCTCAGGGGTTTACCTTCTTGATGTTGAAAGATGTTGATAATGGGAAACACCAAACACATCTTAATGACTGTACTAAGTAAAGTCTCAATGGAGGAATAAAGTCCTTTTGGTTTTTTGAGACAGGATTTATCTGTGTAGTTTTTGGTTCCTGTCCAGGATCTTCCTCTGTAGACCAGGCTGGCCTCGAACTCACAGAGATCTGCCTGCTTCTGCCTCCCAAGTGCTGGGATTAAAGGCGTGTGCCACCACCACCTGGCAGAATAAAGTCTTTAATATTGGTCAGCAGAAATTATGTAGTTTACTGGACATGGCAGCACATCGTTGTAATTCCAGAACTTGAGAGATGGAAGCAGAAGGATTAGGAGCTCAAGGACAACCTCAGCTAAGTAGTGGCTTGAGGCTAGTCTGTGATATGTGACAGTCTCAAAAAACCAAAAGAGAGGAAGAAATTATGCAATTTGAAAAAGAGATATTAAAAAAAGTTCCTGTAAGTGAAAGAGTATCAGAAATTTTAGCGGGAAGCCAGACTTCGTTAGGACATAAATTTATATATACAGAGCCCATGAAGAAAAATATTTTCAGGCATGTCCCTAAAAAGGGTAAAAACTGAAACCAACGAGGAAAAGTTGATGAAGGCATCTGCAGGAGCAGCGTGTTCTAGGTAGTGGAAGTGGACAGCTGTGGCTGTGAACTGAAGCTGTGTGCCTCTGCATCCCACCCTTGCTGTCTAATTTTACTTCTGACTCATTCTTTTCTCTTTTGAGATGAGGTTTCACTTTGTAGCCCAAGCTAGCCTTCAACTTGTGCCAGATTCCAGGCTTTTGCTCCCATGCTTGACTCCCCCCTCCCTGGAGAATGAACTATTTTCCTCTCTCATTGTGCCTGTACTTGTACATTTTTGGCAGATTCCTTGGGTTCCATAAGATCTCATCATGTTCATTAATACCCTTCTCACTCATTTTTGCTGCTTGGGATCAAACACATGGCCTCCAGATGCTGGGCCATTAGGGTCCAGATCAAACCTCAAGTTGCTCCCATTGGCCCTGAGCTCAATGTGTAGCTTAGGCAAGGCTTGAACACCCTATTCTCCTATGTCTGCCTCCTGATTTCCTTGGATAATAAGCCTGGACCATGGGCCTAGCTGCCATCCATATCTTTTCATTTTGATTGTATACTTACTTACTCACCTCAAAATTTGAAAGTAGGAGCTCTCCTTTGTGCTCCGTTGAACACTCTGCCCCCTTTTCCAGTTAACAATGGCTCCCATGATTCCATGTCTCATGGGTCAGGTTTCACATCCCATCTCACTGAGTTGGTCTTCAGAAATCATTTGCCAAATGTTTGTTTTGCCCACCTCTTTTTCCATACTGCACGCAGAATTTGATTATTTCTCACTGGTCCTGCCTCCACTGTGTCCCAGTCCTTGTCTTTTATCTGCACTGTTTCACTCCTGCTTTCCACCGGGTAGACCCACTTTATTGTAGTGCCAGACTTGATCACACTATCCGTCTGCTCTAAATTCTCCAGTGGCTTCCTGCCTGTGGCCGAAGGTAACTGGGATCACACACTCTTTTCATTCCCTCCTCACCTGACCTGCTTTCCTAAGAGTTTTCTCCCTTGCCTCCTGTCGTACTGTTTCGTGGAGATGTAAAACTTTTCTAGCCCCAACCTGTATACACACTGGAGATTTAGTTTATGATGAGGTGCTTTTCTTGATCTGTAGGAAGAAAAGTGATTCTCACTGATTTGTGAACACTGAGACTCACGTAGATCCATCATTTGTCACAGTATAGCCACAGGTCCTTATCTCTTAGGGACTCCATGAGGACGGGCTGCATTACATTTTGCACATTAGTAGTTTAGCAGTGTTTTTCTTGCTAATCAGTAATATTTATGTATGTAAATATTAGAAATAAAATGGAAAAAAGATTTCACAATATAGTAGTTAAAATCAGAACCTATTAGAATATTAGGAAAGATGTGTAGGAACTGTACTAACTGAACTTATTTAGACACGTGGGGACCCAGTACTTGCGAGGCTGAGACAGGGTACTGCATGTTTAAAGTTAACCTAGGCTCCATATAGAGATCTGGATTCTAGAGTGGGTGTGGCTAGCACAAAAATAAAAATAAGAAAAATCCAAAATGAGTGTCAAATGTCATGATTTTGATGTTATTATTTAGTCACTATTTGATGAAAATCAACAGTATCTATGCAGTAATTTCTTTTTTATTATTATTAAGAGATTTTCTAATCATTTTACATACCAACCACAGAGTCCCCTCTCCTCCCTCTTCCTGCCCCCCAGCCTTGCCCTCCAACCTTCCACCCTTTTATTTTTGGTTTGTCGAGACAGGGTTTCTCTGTGTAGTTTTGGTGTCTGTCCTAGATCTTGCTCCATAGACCAGGCTGGTCTCGAACTCACAAAGATCTGCTTGGCTCTGCTTCTGAGTGCTGGGATTAAAGGCATGCACCACCGTTGCCCGGCTCTATGCAGTAATTTCTAATGTCTTACAGGAAAAAAAGGCAAGTAGAGCGGTGGAACAGAGCCAAGTCTGGACCAGATACCCAGGCTATTTAGTACTTAAACAACAACAACAACAAATTGTTTAGCATTATATCCAGGATATCTTATTTTGCTGGTGTGAGTTTTGGTAACCCATGTCTTTGTTGACACTTGCCCATCGGGTTAGTTTATTGTTGCAGTAGCTGTTCGTAGTATTGTGTTTGCTCTGTGTGGTATGTTGGGCGTCTAATGACAGACGAGCTGGGAAAGGTAGGAATTCCCTTTCTTTTCTGCCATCATTCCAGCCCGTTTCATTTTTAACCTTGGATTTCTTTTTTTGGAGTTTTTGGTGGTGGAGTGCATGACACAAGTTGTTTCATTTGTGTTTTTAGACAGGGTCTTACTGTGTAGGGCAGGCTGTGCTCAAACTCCTGGCACTCTTCCAACTGTTGGGATTACAGGCCTCCCTTCCCCCACATCTCATATGTGTATGATGTGGATGTATGTATGCATTTGTGTGTGTGTGTGTGTTCAGGTGCCCATGAACATATATAGTCAAGGAGGTGGAGGCCTAAAGTTGATGTCAGGACTCATCCACCAACATTTTTGCACATTATTAATTGAGGCAGGATCAAACCTAGCCCTCGGTTCTGGCTAGTCTCAGTGGTCAGCTCCCTCTGGGGATCTCATCTTCCCCTATGGAGCTGGAATTACAGAAAGGCTTAGATAGTCACTTGAGTTTTGGGGATCCAAACTCAGGCCCTTATTATGCTTCTGCAGCACGTGCCCTAAGTGCCAAGCAAAAAGCCTCCTTTTTTTTTTCAGTGCCCTTTTGCTTATTTTGGGTTTCTGTTACTGGCCTCACATACATGTGTGGTTATTTTTATGGTTTCGTACTGTGAGCCTGTTTTATGCAATGTCTTTTGTGACTAGTATTGTAGTCACTAGCATGCTGATAGTGTTTATTTTTCTTTTGGTACTGTTTGTATTCTGTGTCTTTTTCTATTTTATAGTTTTAAGGTACTTTTTTAAAAAGGAGACTTTGGAATTATTTGTGTTTTTATATATGTTGATTTACATGTAATTTAACTTGATCTTATTGTAGTTTCTCTTTTTTGTATTTTATAGTTTTTACTATGAGTAGCCATTGTACGAATTGTATGAATGGCCAATAGTGTTATCTGTTAGATATGGGCAGGTTTTCGGTCATCTCCATCACAGAAAGAATTTTTAAAAGTTAATTTAAGAGAAGGAAAGTGAAGACCTAAGCCCTGAAAATCCTCACACAGAATACATAACTCTTTATGTGGTTCTGTTTATCATGTATGTGTATCTGTCTGTCTGTCTGTCTTTGTGTGCATAATATTTCCGACTTGCTTCAGATAGGATCTTCCTCTATGTGTATAGTTCGGGATTGTCTCAAGCTGTTGTTCCTGCTGCCTCTGTCTTCTGAGTTGCTGGGATCACACGCATGCTTCCCGATACCCAGGGAACCTTCAACAATAGGACATATTTTCTTTTTTGCATGCTCCACTATTTGATTTTTAATGATGGATATTATGTGTAAGGGAACAACAGAGATGGTGATATTTTCTGTAAAGGTGCTGGGACTGTGAAGATTGAAGGGCACACATTAAATTTGCTGTTGAGTGTAAAGTTTCATTTGTTTACTTTATGGGGAGACTGTCTCTGCCTCTGATATGCACAGTGCATATAGAGCATTCAACAGATGATTTGCTCAGGAACAGCAGAAAGTCTATCCAAGGATAGAGGTGTTCTCAAAAGGCAGCTGAATAATGATAGCAATAGTATAATAGAAGTGATTATAGTATTTAGAATTCTTCTGCATCAGCAAATGGTAATTTTCTACATTTCAAGACTCGTTTGCTGCAGGATGTGTTTTACATAATAAATCTTACTATTTTCTCCACCAGTTTTTAGCATGCTAAAACTTCTTAAAAAACTATGTGAATTATCTAGTAATAAGGATGATGTTTTATTGAAATAATCATTAAGTGTGGGATTGGTTTTTCTACAAGAAACAGTCAACTATAAGTCAATATTTGGGATGTATTGTAGGAATTTCACTTTAGAGTATTAAAATCATAGCTTAATTATACAGTGTGTATGTTCTAAATTATTTCCCTAATTATTTGTAATTTTTTCTCTAAAATTACTGTTTATAGAGATTGTAACTAAATATTAATATATTGAGTCATTTAGAAATGGCATATGCTAAATGGCAAATGTCTCAGATTTTGTTGGGTGTGCTGAGAAATTCTGCAATTTTTTTAAGTGATAGATTACATAAAGCCATTTATATTTAATTTAATATCATTGAACATTCTGTTTAGTAAGTGGCCAACTGGTTAATATTATCCAGTCTTAATGTCATCTGTTTAATTTCAGAATATGAAAATGAAACTATTCAGAGTCCATTTACAGCTTTAGAATTTGTCACTTTGTTTATATGGAAGATTTCACTGTTTTTATTCTCAGACTTTTGGAGTCAGATATTTCTACCCTATGTACTAGAAATGTTTTATTTTCAAAGTACGATTTTAATTATTTATGATTCAGTTAATAGGATTTCTCACTCACTCATGTTTCCATTCTGGTTTTTCCCTCTAATTTTAGGATCCTCGTCGTAGTCTTGCAGGAGAAAATCGCTGCCTTTGATAGCTGTACTTTCACAAAAAAATTTTTTGTCACAAGTATGTACCAAATCATTTTACTTCCTGTCATGTGCGTTTGTGTCTCTGTTGCTGACTGAATGCTGTCAGCAGTGGGTTTCGGCCATGGTCTCTGTCCGTGATTCTTGTGGGTGTCATTACTTAGTAGCTGCTAACCTTAGGAAGGAATTTTACCATGCCACAGCGTGAGTGCCTCTCAGGCTTCCCTGTAGCTGTTTCATGGAGTTAGCATGTCATGGACTTAGAGGAGTGACTGGATGGTGCTCTAGGAAGGATTTAAAACGCAGAGGAGTAATTCACCTGCTTCCCTTGCCTTTCACTGTTGTCAGGAGCTGAGCACTCAGCCCAGAATCTAGTTCCAGCCAGTGTTGAAACACAGATTCAGTGCAAGGTTTGTAGAGAGGCAGAGGATGGGGATGGGAAGGGAAGTGAGGGGTGAGTTAATTAATTCTAAGGAGCTGGAATGTGCAGTCTTGGCATGCCGAGTTGTAAAGGACAGAGACAATCTGGAAATGCCATCGGGGGTCTGTTAGCTGTTTTAAAATGCTAGTCAATCTGGGACACACACAGGACTTTTGTTTTTTTAAATTATATATATATATATATATATATATATATATATATATATATATATATATATATATAATATGTGCATTGGTGTTTTGCCTGTGTGTATGCCTGTGTAAGACTGTCAAGTCCCCTGGAACTGGAGTTACAGACAGTTGTGAGCCACTATTTAGGTCCTCTCTGAAAGAGCAATCAGTGCTCTTAACTGCTAAGCTATCTTTCTAGCCCCGACACAGAAGTTTTTTAATTTTATTTTCCTGTAGCTCAGTAAAATAATATTTTTCCCCTACTTGTTCTCTTCCCCCCCCCCCCAAAGAGACTGATATTTATATTTGACAGAAATAGCTTAATGGGCCTCCATTTTGAAATGAACTAGAAATACAACATGGACTTAGATGTTTACTGAGTAGGTAGTAGTAGATGTAGATATTATTCCTCTCCTATAAGGGCAAGTCCTTTGTTACAACTGTGCTATATATTACAGATGATTGCATGCATCCTGTACTATACACCAAACTATATAATATGATAATTTGATACAGTGCATGTTTCACATTTTGTGGATCATGAAGAATTGAAAGACTAGCCCATCCCCAGTGCCTTTAATCCTTTTCTCTGAGTGGTTCACCCATTATGCTTAGGCAGCAGAAGCATGTGTGTTTCTGTGTGGTGCAGATGAGGTAGTTAGAACACAGTGGGCTATCTCAGTCACATCCAGGTATCAGCTGCCCTGGGAATTTGCCATTCCATTTCAGCTGTTGTTTTTATTTGTGTACTTTTTTTTCAATTGTCTTTGCTATTCGGTACTGATTACAGATAAAGGTGTGAGGTCCTCTGCAGTGTTAAGTATCTGTTGTGACCCCATTTAACTTTATTCTGGAGCATGTATTCCTTGGTAGTTACTTTATCAATTTAGGAGCTCTGAACATTAGAGTGTGGTGGTGGAGACTAACATGGTTGGTTGTCTTATAAAGATTTATTCTTTCTTAAAAATTTGTATGTACATGTGTAGGTGCACTCAGATGCAAGAAGAGGTCTCTGTGCCCTGGAACTGGAGTTACAGGCACTTAGGAGCCACCTGGCATGGGTTGTGGGAACCAAAGCTGCTTCCTCATAAGGAGCAGTAAATGGTGAACCTTCTTTCCAGTCCCCCAGTGTGGTTTTTTTTTGGGGGGGGGGCGCTGTTTTTTTTCCAGACAGGGTTTCTCTGCAGCCCTGGCTGTCTTGGAACTCACTCTGTCCAGGATGGCCTAAGTCACAGAGATCTGCCTGGCTCTGCCTGCCAAGTTCTGGGATTAAAAGTATATGTTACTGCCGCCTGGCTCCCCCCATTGTTTTTTTTAAATTATTTTTTTATTTCTGTTTGTATCGTGTGGATGCACAAGCTAGGTCACATGTCTGTCTGTCAGAGAACAGCTTCCACGAGGTTCTTCTCTCCTTCTACCTTTCTGTGAGCTTTAGAGGTCCTAACTAGGTTCTTAGGGTTGTGTGGCATGCACTTTATTATGGAGCCATCTTAGTGGTCCCTTTATTTGTTGGCAGGAGTTTATTTAAATGCAAATTATGTTTTGAAATTTGAGTATTAAAGAAATTTTTTGTCAATTGTTGTTATTTTTCTCATTATTAGTGAATGGCAGAATAGGAAATATTAAAAGTGAATAACAAGCAGTTAACAACTGGGTTAATGTTTGAGATGTATCATTTTGAGATTGTTATCTAATATCTTAAATATCTATTTATACTAGTCTAAAATATTTTTATTCTTTGAGAATTTTTTTTTTTTTTCTGAGACAGGGTTTCTCTCTGTTGCTTTGTGCCTGCCCTGGAACTCACTCTGTAGACCAGGCTGGCCTCGAGCTCACAGAGATCTGCCTGGCTCTGCGTCCAGAGTGTTGGGATTAAAGGTGTGCGCTACCACCGCCCGGCTCTTTGAGAATTTTATACAATGTATTTTGAACATATTTACACTCCACCCCCAATTCCTCATAAGTCTGTCACTACCTCCCCACCTCCCAACCTCCCCACCTATCTCTGCCTCCCCAGCTTTCTACCTCCCCACCTATCCCCGACCTACCTGACCTCTTTTTTTTTTTTTTAAAGGATTTGTATCTGGGTGTGTTTTATTGATAGCTCTAGCAACACATACAAAAATAAATTAATTAGATTTGTGTATTAATCTCACTCTTTGATTGTGACTTTGAATTGCGTTGGCATTAAAATTAAAATTTCACAATTTTCATTATTTATGAAAGATACAAATGATTAGCCTGAGTTAGTTAATAACAGTTTGGATGTACCGATGAAGCGAGAGTTAGTGAATTGCACTTTGGACTTGAGAGCAGTTCCTTTGTATTCATATTAGTATTGTGAACTTCTCTCTCCCTGCCCCATCTCGTCCTCTCCTGTCTCCTGCCTGCCTTTTCCCTTCTGTCTTGTCCTGGCTGCTCCTTTTCAGTCTTTCTCACTCTAGCCCATGATGGTATTAAAATTGCTGTCCTTCTGCCTCACTCTGAGTGCTAGGGTAACGTTACAGGGGGGTCTCTCTGTCTCCCCCATGAGTGTGTCTGTCTCTGTGGGACATTGTTACCGTATGTTCCTGAATATCGCCCTTGGGTTTCTGGACCCACCGAACAGCTGAGGCCAGTTGTCCCCCAGTGTCAGTTTCTCTCGTACTGTGTGAATTGTTCCTGAGAGGAGCAGTGGTTCTGCCAGTGTCACCCGGGTTCTCCTTGTGGAGTGGCATCCAGCTGATAGCTAGGCCACTGTTGTGTGTTCTGTCCCAAGGGGATTCTCACACACTCTCTCAGAGCATTGGTGCAGCGGCTCTTAAGTCTGGAGATGCCTCTGTTAGTAGAGATTGCAGAAGACCCCAAATCAAATGTATAATTCATACCTGACGGCTATGCAGAAGGATGAGCCTGGAGGATGGCGTGGGCAGCTTAATGAGAAACTTTTAAAATCAAAAGTGAAGAGAGGGGCATTTGATTAGTGTGTGAGGCTCTGGCTCAATACCCAATATTGAAAACCAAGTCAAAAATCCAAACCAAACCAAACCAGTCAGCCAACCAAACAAAAGACCCCATCAGGTGTTTAGAAAACAATGACAAAGACTTCGATGTCTTGCTTCCTACTGTGATTAAGGATTTTTCTAGTTTTTCACTGCAGTGCTGTGGAGCGTCATTAATAAATGCGTCCTGTCCTAGTGATGGGTCTCTTTATACTTCACTAGGAAGTGTTGTGTTCAGTACTGGTTATTTAAATTGTGAACTCTAGAGCTTGAGTTTGTGCCAGTGATTTGAAGTTGGAAAGATTGATACACATCAAGAATCAGAATCCTTGAATTACAGCTTTACTCAAGTGATCTCAGTCATGATTCCAGGTCTAGTGGCTTCCACCTGCAATCCTAGCACTTTGGGTGCTGAAACAAGATGGCTGCTGTGAATTTGAAGCCTGGGCTACATAGTGTTCCAGGACAGCCTTAGCTGTAGAGTGAGACTATCTCAAACAAAGGAAACATAACAAAACTTAAAACACCACCACTACTAATAAAGAACATTTCAAACCAAATTCGGTGTGATGCAGTTCTTAATCAAGTGGCAAGACTGCTACTCCATAGTGTTAATAAAAATGATTTTTTCCATTTTCTGCACCACCCTTTGGCTAATTCCTTTCACTGTATTCAGAGTTGGTTCGGATCTCATGCATTTTTCTGTGTTTGGATTTTGACTGATACAGAGGTTGACTGAGGACTTGGGAGACTGGCATACTATGATGTCTCTTGTGACAGCTCATTTGCCTGTAGCATGTGTCTTGTCTCTATGTTTATTCTATGTATTTGTTAGACAGAGTTTCATGTAGCTCAGGATGACATTGAATTCCGTACCCACATGCTTCCATCTCTGGAGTGCTAAGATTGTAGGCCTCGCATGCCTGGTTTCTGCAGTGCTGATTGAGTCTGTAGTTTGGCATGGGCTAAGCAAGCTCTTTACCAACTCAGCTGCATCCCCAGCCTGGTACCCAGTTCTGAAAGAAGTAGGATCATGCCCTGTGTAGAATCACAAGATCTCCACTTAATGAGGATGTCGTTTTGATCATGTAGACATTTAACTTCTGAAGTAGAATGGGAAGCTCTTGCCTAATGCATTCCTAGCTGAAGGCCTTGTTACGTATGAATACAATGAAAGCATTGTAAAATGAGTGGAGTCCGCTGTGCCCATCAGAGCAGGCATCATAGGGATTTGTGCCAAAGGGTGGATGGAGCAGGTAAAGGGAGCTGATAGAGAACTGTTGACAGAGTGCATCCAATGGACGAGAAAGGAGACACCTTTGTGTTCGGATGTACAGAAAAGTTGGTCTTGAGCAGCTGTCCAATGTGGAAATTCAAAACCCAGGTATGAGTAGGCAAACAAAAGACAAAGACTGATAGATGTCATTAGCAGTCATTTTAAGGATCCTTTGAAGTTGAAAGGCAGATATGGAGTCTCCAGAGAGACCCGGTGTCTGATAAACAGGCTGTGTGTGTGTGCGTCTGCCTGTGTTTTAAGTTTGAGAAGGAAAGTTATTTGGTGCAGTCCTAATGTTATTAGTGTTAGAATGTCTGTTCTTTGTTTATGTTAATGATGAGCAACACATGGAACACATGGAAATGAGTTTAAAGTAGCTTTAAAATGCAAAGTTAAAATTTTGGGTAAGAACAGCTTTGCTTGCTTTTTTTTTTTTTTCCTTTTCATTTTGGGAAAGCAATGCCTTGGTGTTTATCCAGGCTGGCTTGGAACCACCACTCCCACATGTTTGTAATATACGGCAGAAAGGGTTGGAGGTTGTATCGTTTAGGTCAGTTTGTATGTTAATTTTACCTCCACGGCTCTGGGTTTGTCACAAGGTAAAGAGGGCTGCTCTGGTGTCTCCTGGCCCTGGGCAGGAGAGTCTGCAAGTGTGTACATGTGCAGTGAACTACACTGTGACTTTTCTGTTTCCCCGCACATGATTCCCACCTATTGAATTTTTTTATAGCATTGTGCTGAAATTCATGTTTCATATATATGCAAAATGAACAAAAATAATGTGCAAATTTCTTCAAAGCTTGTCAAACCTTAAAAGGCTGTTAATCAGTTGCATGATGTTTAAGTAACCCCTCAAATTGCTATTTAAAGTATGTGTGCACGTTTCTGGGTTGTGTCAGATTTTCTTACTCTCCTCTAACATGTGGTCTTTGTGACTGGTGTCTAGCAGAACTTAAAGATGGTGTTCAGCCCAGTTTGTAGCCTTCAGTATTTCTTCACCTCCCGACCCTCTCATTGCCTTCCTGCCTGATTCTGTCCCTCCCTCCTTCCCTCTGTCCATCTTTCCCCTTTTCCCTCTCTTCTTTTGTTTAGACTGGGTTTTATATATCTCAGGCTGACTTTGAAATACTTATCCTCCTGCCTCCGTGTCCGAAGAATGGATTATAGACATGCATCACCACACATAGTGTTCATGTTTTATTTCTTCTTTATGTAATGATCCTAAATTTTATGGTTATTAGACATGTATCTCTTAATTGGTTAACAAATACTACCTTATGTATCCTTCTGGAATGTATGGGTGATGCTTACATGAAACTGAGTACACATTCTAGTTTTTATGTGGATGTATTTTAGATTCTTTTGGGTATGAACATTTGGTTGCAAGTTTTTGTTATATATATATATATATATATATATATATATATATATATATATATATATATATTGAGACAGGATTTCTCTGTGTAGTTTTGGAGCCTGTCCTGGAACTCAATCTGTAAACCAGGCTGGCTTCAAACTTACAGAGATCCACCTGCCTCTGGCTCCCGAGTGCCGGAATTAAATGCATGCGCCACCACTGCCCGGCTATATATATTTTCTTGATGGCCAGTGATACTGATTACTTTTCATGCCAGTGTATTATCTAAGTTCATTTTTAAGTTGAAAACATCTCAATATTGAGTTATCAAAATTTTCTAAAATAGGTCACTTTTCACTTATGGGTTACAAAAATATTCCTCCATTCTGCTGGTTGTCTTTTTAATTTTTAAAAACAGTGTGTCATGAGTGTTTTGCCTATACATGTGTATCTTTCACTTGTGTACCTCCTGCACACAGATGCCAGAGCTGGGCTTTGGATCTCTGGAACTAGAGTTTAAAGGTAGTTGTGAGCTGCCACATGAATACTGAGTATTGGACCCAGGTCCTCTGCAAGAATACCAAATGCTTTTTACCACCAAACCTTCTCTCCAGCTCTTCTTCTTTGTTTGATGGTGTCCTTTTTAAAAAACATTTTTTTTAGTCAAACTTATGTATTATCAGTGTAAGAAACTGTTTTACCAAATCTGAGGCCTCGAATAGCCCCTCATGTACTTTTTTGGGTGTTTTGGTTTTCAAGACCAGGTTTCTCTGTGTAGCTCTGGCTGTCCTAGTACTCACTCTGTAGACCAACTGCCTTGAACTCACAGATTCATCTGTCTTTGCCTCCTGAATGTTTCATTAAAGATCTGTGCTACCATGTGCTACAACATGGCTTCATGTTGTACTTTTAAATATTATCCATTCTGAAAGAACTGAAAAAATTTTAGGGTCGCTATTTTTATGTGTATGAGGGTTTTGCCTGGTGCACTTGAGGTTCAGAAGAGGGCTGTAGATCCCCTGTTTCTGGGGTTACAGAGGGGTGAGGGCTGCCATGTGGATACCCTGGTCTTGTGCAAGAACAACTAATGCTCTTAACTGCTGAGCTAACTCTCTAACCCTGAGGTACTTTTGTATGTGGTGTGAAGCCAGAGTCCAGCATCATGTACACATAGGTGGCATCTTTCGCCATGGACTCACCTGGGTACCTTTGTTAAAGATCAGCTGACTGAGGTCAATGTGATGTATGTGTGGTGTGGTTTCTCACCTTTACCCTCGTAAGTTGTGGGAGACCAGCTCCCACTTTTCCCCAGTGTACTCTTGAGGAGAAAGGGATGAGAGATTTAGATGGAAATATAGATCCGAGAGAGTCAGATAGAAACAGGATAGCCTTGGGGAGGGCCTGGATCCTTATCCACCGGCTCTTTCTGTCTCTTCTAAAGGGCTTTTTATTAGGAGTAACAAGGGGTGGAGCAAAGACCTCCCCTTAGCACAACCAAGTGCAAACCCTTCCAATCACCTAGTAACCATGCACGTGGTCAAGCAATCCTCTAATGCAGTCCTGGTGGGTGAACAAGCTCAGATCTCACTAGGAAACCTTTGTGGGCCTCCCCATCATGGCACATGGGAGATAGAGGCAGCAGATCTCAAGAGTTTTAGGCCAATCTGATCTTTATAGCTACAGGGTGAGAGTAGTGAAGTCTTATTTACCTAAATGTGTTCAAGTTATGTCTTTGTTAAGAGCAACTTTCTGGCCTGATGGCAGGCAAAACTGCATAACTTTCTTGTGCCTTTCATAAAGAAGCTCGGCTAATCTGGCCTTGAACTCACTGCAGCCCTGCTACTTCAGCCTCCCCAGTACTCAGACTAACTGTGTGAGCCACCACAGATTTTCTGCCGTGGTAGAGGAGTCGATGTGGGGCTCTTAGAGTCTATCTTCATTTATATTGGAAAGCCTGAGTTTTCTTAAGGCCCAGTTGCCTCTGCTTACTTTGTTAAATGACTTGTAAACATCTTTGAATTCTTCTTAATATTACAGATGTTCAGGTCTTCCACCCTCTACACCCCTTGGCTTGTTTTTAGAGTTTAGCTGGAGGTCAAAGTTAATCATTAGAGGAGTCACACTTATACTGTTGTTATGATGCTTTGTGGCTGATACCAGCTGTAGAATGTAGTTTTGGTGATTGGGTGAGCAGAAAACAATTTGCTTACATTCCGCTATCCTGTAATTCCTGAGGTCCACTTGAGTTCCTAACAACCTAGAACCAGTAGGCATTTTTCTTCCTTCGTTTGAAATCACACGTGTAAAGAAGATATGTAAGAGCATCTAATATAGTGGAACTAGTTTTGAGAAATGATTTGAAGTTAGATTGTTTAGATTTTGCATTAAAAAAATTTTTTTTGAGACAGTAGTCCTGTCTGGTCTCGAGGCCACTCTTTAGTCTTGCCATGTCTTGTAAGTCTTGATGTTCCTGCCTCCACCCCCCTATTTGGCCTTTGATGCTAATTCTGGAGGTTAGCTACCTCAAATGTGAGTTACTGCATACTAGAGAGTAGAGAATTGTGTGTGTAAAATTGTGAATTTTACAGTCTTCAGGATGCCCTAGCTCATGTATGCCAGCATAATATGCCTTCAGCAATGATATCAGCAACACCACCGTTCCCTAGAGTTTCAACAGTAAGGAGAAGGGTACAATCCTTAATCCTATGTATACGTAACCAAGAGTATAGAAAGTGATAAACAATAAATACATCATAGTACTATTTATTGCTATTAATAGCTGGCACTGGAACCAAGAAGAATGAAATGGAGTGCTAATATAAGTACATAGCATTATCTAGCTTTCCAGAATCTTTCTGCTGAGCTACCCTTTGAAGGTTCTTTATGCTCATTGGCCACGTTATTTTGTACTTCTTTTTTCATCGTTGTGTGAGCATCATTTTCTTATTGATATGTTTGTATGTGGTTTTAATTGATCAACTTCCTGCACCTACTGCTTTCTGTCCTCTCCAGAAATTCTTTTTAAATTTATGAACTTCAAACTTAGAACTTTAAGTCATTTCCTTCTATCTTCATCTTGTTCTTCAGGAATGACAGTATAAATGCGTAGTTAGTTACCAGTGCTTACCAGGTAGGTAGGTATTCCTGCATCAGTGGCATCAGGGAGGTAAACAGAGAAGTGAAAATATATAGGTCACTTAAGTATTCAAATAATGAATACTGGGCTGGGCATGGTGACACATGCCTTTGGTCCCAGCACTTAGGAGGCAGAGGCAGGCAGATAAGTTCGAGGCCAACGTGGTTTACACAGTGAGTTCCAAGATAGCCCCGAGTACATAGAAAGACCCTGTCTCAAAACAAAACAAAACAATGAATACTATTATTTGAATTCTATGAGGTTTTAAAAAAATTAAGCACTTGAATTTTATATTTTTCTTTAGTCAAGAAGTGATGCATTAATAAAAAAGTTATTATAAAATTTCTTAATAATGCTCTTTGGAACTTGCAGGTTGTTATCCTTGTCCTGGGCCAAACATGAATCCCATTGCTCTTGGGAGCCGCTGGCTTGCTTACGCAGAAAACAAGGTAAGGCCTGGCCCAGACTTGGGTTAGTTGTAATGGGGCAGGTGTGGAAGGACTTTTTACACTCTGTATTGATGCTCTGTTGGCGAATACCACTAGTGAATGTTTTTATTTTGTTTGGTTTTGCTTGTATTTCCACTAATCTGACTCTGAAGGGTTCGTAGCTGGATCTGGTGATACATACTTGTGTTTCTAGCACTTGGGAGCCAGTGGTAGAAGGATTACCTCAAGATCTGGGCTAACCTGTGGTATGTGGTGGGCCCTTACTGCAAATAGAAAACTTACATTTTTTTCTTTGTTTTTCTGACAGGGTGTCTTAAGCTCAGGCTAGACTTGATGTCCTTATCCTCTTGCATCCACCCAAGTGCTGGGACTAGCAGCGTATGTCATTATACGATAGCTTTCCCTAAACAAAGGCTTTGTAGAATCTCGCTGTTCTAGCCTGGCTTCTGCATAGAGCTGCTCACCCAGAGATTGTTCAATATTGCAGTAAAGCACTGACGTTCCCTGTCATACCAATGCTATCTAAAAGACAGCAATTTGCAGGAATAATCTTGAAGCCTGTCTCCTTGCATAGATTGGAATCATGGGGCATGGTACAATTTTATTGGCCCTATATCATCAGCAACTAGATCCTATTGTGCAGCCATTTGTTGTAATGATTAAAGCATACTCAATGCCTTGTTGGGTATATATATTATTAACTTGATTGCCATAGTATGTAAAAATTGCTATATATGCTTTTGTATCTCAGTGTTTTATTTATATACAGTCCAATGTAAAACATAAATTTTGATTTTATGCAAGAAGGTATAAATTCTTTTTAAGCCATTTAAGACTTCTGCCTGTAAATATAGAATAAAATATAAAAAGTACTTTGAGGCTTTGAGGGTTAGCATTTTTGTTTCATTTTTGTTGGTTACATGGTTATTGTGTCTTGAGAATATTATGAAATAGTACAAAATAGTTCTTGACAAAATCAGGATGTGGTACTTAAAGTAAGTACTTGGTGAAGCCACAGAATTCGTAAATCAACTGGCCTCTGGAATGCACAGAATCAAGAATGAGCTGACGAAAATCATTTTTGTAGATGAAGTCTTTAATTCCTTTTCCAAAAGCCTGTCTACAACAATTAAGATATTTTGCATGTCATTGAGTGCTCTATTTATACTTCTTCTTGTCTGGTCTCTTAATTTTCCCGTAAAAATAGCTCTTTTCAAATTATTCTTTTCAAACAATGCAAGAGCCGTACAGTTAAATGGGGTGACATAATGGTGTCTCCTAATGTTTATATCTGTAATGCAATTCTCTTGAGTGCTGGAGACATCCACGAAGAAAGTGTATAAACCATCTCTTGGCACTTGCCAATATATTCCCACATGTGGAAAACTGCACATTTGGAGAGTTGGAGGTTTAATTAGTTACCTGTTTTTGAGAAGAAGCAACTCCCTTGAGAGTTGCATTTTGATATCTGTCTTTGCAGCTACACATGTGAATAATATTTCCTGTCACATGTAGGGACCAAGCAGGGTGTGCATGTGCTATCATGTGCAGAAAGAGTTGTAAATAGTACTTAACAAAGTTGGATTAAATTTTGAAGAACATTTCAGACAATGTGCTTGACTCTGTGTGTGTGTGTGGCGGCTGATGTCAATCAGTTGTCATCTTCTGTTACTTTTTGTTTGTCTCATTTTTGGAGAAAGTATTTCTCATTGATACTGGAGGTAGGCTGGTGGCTGGCCCGTTTTAGTGATACTCATGTCTTGACTCCTCAAATTACTGTTTCACAGGAGCATGTGTGGCCCTGCTGGCCTTTTTTTGTGGGCTCTAAAGATCCTAATTCAGATTTGTATGGATCCCCACAGATCCATCTTTCCCGCTCCTCCTCCTTGTATGTATTATTTTATTTATTTATCTCTCTGTCTCTGTCTCTGTCTGTCTGTCTCTGTGTGTATGTGTATGCGCACGCACATGTTCATGAGTGCAGGTACCTGAGGAGGACAGAGCAGGTCTTTTGCAAGAGCAGTATGCGCCCTCTCTCTAGTCTCCTCCTGGTTCTTTCTAAGGGGCAGCACCTTTAGAAAGTCACCTTTGTCCTGTGGGCGTGGTCTTTGAACTCACGTGTGTTCTTTATAGAATTTTTCAATGGAAACATGCCACTTACATACAGAAAACAGGAATGCATACATATTTCTACATTTATATGTGCATATTCGCATGATGTAGAAATGAGGTCTTCACACTGATACTTGCATCAAGTTCTTTCTTGTTCCCATTCATAGTCATATGTCTGTCCCTTCCTTTGCCTGGTAGACTCTATTCCCTTGTTTAGTTCCTGTAATTCAAAAGTAGTCACAGAATTGATCACCTGTGCCCCCTCAGGAGACAAGCCAGAGGCATGCCAACTGCCACTGCTGCCCCAAACAGCAGGGGCACAGTCACCTGTCTTCATGGGGTAGTTCTTAAGTTCCTTCTTCACATTTTTTATTGGTTTGTGTATGTATTGTGTGTTTGTGTGCACACATGTAAACAAGCATGTTTGGAGGTCAGAGAACAACTTGGGAGAGTTATTTCTCTCCCTTTACCGTGTGGGTTCTGGATATTCAACTGAGGCTTAGTGGCAAATCCCTTCATCTGCTGAGCCATTTCATATTGATTTTTATTTGTTGATCGTCTTTCCCTATTGTTCTTCCTCTGTTTTGATTAGACTTTCCTTTAATGTGTAATTGTGTACACTTTTGTATACATTCATATTTTATGTTCCAGTGTACTCACTATAGGCGTGTAGTTATTTATATTTCCCTTTTACGAAAGGTAACATTATATATTTGCTTCTTAATGATCATTTTGCTCAGGATTATTTCCCAGACATTAGTCCATTTGTGTGCTGTTTTTGTTATAAAAAATTGATGCAAATGTAATTTTTTTCTATGCTGTGTTTCTGGGCATATTTTCATGTACAAATCCTGACTCAGTTGTAGTTAAATTGAAGTGGTTGAGAGTATTGGTTATATTTCCATTAGTCTTTGAATATTTTTAGTCTTACTTTAATATGAAAACCTTTATTTTTTTTGTATAACTTTAACAATTTTATGTATGTATATAGTTTGTTCCGATGGTGAGATGGCTTAGTGGGTAAGGATGTTTGCTGTCCATGAGTATTTTGATGAGCTGGAGCAGGGAGTAGGTCTCTGCCTTCATGCAATACTGCCTTTCTCTGCTCAAGCAGCAGGAGGCAGCAGAGGAATAATTTTCATAATTCTTTGACTGGATTTGTGGTTGAAACAAGCCATTCTTCCATTAGCTAAAATAGTCACTTTTCACATTTTATTTTGACAAACATGTTTACTGATCAGAAAATTTCAACTCTTCATCATGGCTTCACAGATATGGCCTAAAAAATAGCTTGGTTTCGTGTACCAGACTTGAGGTGTTCTAATCTGTCACATTCATATTATATTGAGAGATTTAAAAACATGTGAGTTAGGAATGAAAGGATTACATGGTAATCTGTGCCACAGAACCCAGTTTTAGGTCGTATAAGGTGTTTTTCAAAATGTATTTATTAATTTCAAAGGCTTTGGAAATACATGTTAAAATATCATGCTGTTTACATGTCTTGTTATTGTCATTTTACTTTAAAAATGTTTCATAAGAATCTTAATTATATGGCCGGGCAGTGGTGGTGCATGCCTTTAATCCCAGCACTCGGGAGGCAGAGCCAGGAGGATGGATCTCTGTGAGTTCGAGGCCAGCCTGGTCTACAGAGTGAGATCCAGGACAAGCACCAAAACTACACAGAGAAACCCTGTCTTGAAAAAACAAAACAAAACAACAACAAAAAAGAATCTTAATTATGATTATTTTTGATAAATACAAATGTGTTGTTGCCAGTGATGAGTTTAATCCTGAATTTCTGTTGAGCACGTGAGAATCAAAATGATGATTCACATTGACAGTTGGAAGTGTAGTGTGTTCCAAGTGGCCAGTGTAGTGGGCCTTCTGAAATGGACAGTTAGTGCGTGTGCATAGCTAGTCTCTGCTCTTTCCCACAGACACAATTGGAAATGCAAATAGGCTAAAATGTTTTGCTTTTTCTTTTAGGTTTTCTTTCATAATCCTTGTAGAGGAATTAAGAGGAGAAAACATCCAATTTGCTAGTATGTCAAATATTTAATGTTAGGAAGTTATGTTTAAGTCCTTTGATTATGTTTTTTAAATTTATTTGTGGAAAGGCTGCCAGACCCAGAATCCTACCATTTCAGAGTTTATGAATTCTTAAAGCCTGTTCATCGTGTAATTAAAACCACAGTTGAGCATGAAACTGCCTGAGTGGCACCAGAAGATTATAAAAAGGGGTAAACGTGTCTCAGCAGGGCTTTTAGCTGTTTCGTCTGCAGGACACTCATGCAAACATTCCCACCCACCACCATTATTGTGCACGGTAAATGGCCACTGTCTAATAGCTGGCCGAGTTAAACAGCTTCATAGAAAGTGACTCTGGTGTTCTCTTCTCCTCCTGCCCCAGCTGATTCGATGTCATCAGTCCCGTGGTGGAGCCTGTGGAGACAACATTCAGTCATACACTGCCACAGTCATTAGTGCTGCTAAAGTGAGTACCTCAGAAGCTTCTAGGAGTTGTGATTATGTGGAGTAATTACCAGGTTTGACTGCTGAATCATGACGAGATGTTCCATTCCATTTTCATTCTCAAGTGTAGAGTAAATGTAAGAAGTCAGAATGTTTTGTCATTCTGTGATTTGGAAGTTAATCTTTTGAGGTTAATAATTCTTTTATTGTGAAGATCGTATGGTTTGCACTTTCTCCATTAAAAACCTGGATGTATTTCAACTCGATTCAGGCCTGGTAACTAATTAATACCATATTGCAATGAACTGTACATGTTTTAAGTGGCAACTTGGGTTCTTTTTTTCTGTGATTTGCACCTTCCTACATATGTGGACTGTGTGCATCCCTGTGCATCTTTGAACTTTTTTTTTGGAGCTGAGGTTCGAACCCAGGGCCTTGCATTTGCTAGGCAAGCGCTCTACCACTGAGATAAATCCCCAACCCTCTTTGAACATTTTTGAGTCTGCTTGACTTAAAAAATTCCTCAAGAAAATTTGAATTTGGTCCCCTGGCACATTGAAAGATTCTTTATATCTAGAGGCTGGCCCCTTGCTGTTTGTGAAATGACTTCTTCTCTGTGTGTGTGAGGGTTCATTTAGATGATGTCTGGTAAACTTTGGGCTGATTATAAGGTCTTCTTACAACCACCATCCTTTTGAATTGTGAAGTCTACAACAGAGCAATTCTAATAATAGGGATGACAGAGTAAATCTGAATGACAGCATATAATAGAAAGTACAACCGCTCAGAGGACAACAGTCTAAAGCAACCACATAGAGGGAATCAAAGGTCACACTGTTTTATGTCAAATACAAAAATACTTCAAGATTGTCACAAATGCTTGCATGAATGTGTCCCTGGGCTGGATGAGAGAAGTGTTACACACACTTCACTCAAAAGCAGAGTAATGAAAAGTCTCTACAACTCAAAGCACTGTATGTTCATGTTTCTCTGTTTCTGTATAAAAAGACAGTAATTAGAAAAACTCTTGATGTTCTCCTGTGAGGTCATCTGTAGTACTGTAACAAAGAGATACAGCTTTGAATGTTAGACACATACATGTGGATCCCAGCATGTTTTTTCTTTCTGCTTTTGTTTGTTGTTAGTTTTTTTTTCCCCTTCTTTTATAAAAGGAAGGGGCCTGGATTCATTTTGAAAGTGTTTTGTTGTGGGTATATAGACACAAGGCTAGAGTTAATGACTTCAAGATTACAAGTCTGAGTCCCCTACATTCCCTCACTTCTTATTGGGATATGAGGTGTGTATTCAGGTCTTCCATGTTTAGACTCCAAGAAATTATGTTTAAGAAGCCATGTTGCCTTACAACTGTAATCCTAACACTTGGGAAGCTGAGGCAGGAGGGTCACTGCAAGTTCAGGCTAAACTAGGGTGCATAATGAAATCGAGGCCAGCCCGAGCCATAGAGTGTAACACTGAGTGAGTACCCCTCTGTTTGTCTCCCCAGAGAAATTAAGTTTAAAACATTTTATCTGATTAATTTTCAAAAGGGCAGTTATCACTAATTGGGTGATTAGAATTTATGTGTGTTAGACATATGCTGTATTCTTGTTTTATATCTGTAGCTCTAGAAGTTAAATTTTCAGGTACACTTTTAATTTAAGCATGTATTAAATCCTGAGTTGGTAAATTATATTTATAACCAACTTAAGTGTTTGTCATTGAATAGTTTTGAAAACAAACAGCAAAAAAATTCATATAGTATTCATCAGTTTATTTAGATTCATGTCTGAAGGCATGCATATTTTCTATTTTCCTGAAGATATTGTCGTCATTTAAAAAATTATATTATGTTATTTTTGTTGTTTTTGAGGCAGACTTTCATGTAGCCCCTGCTTGCCTCAAACTCACTATGGCTGAAGATGATCCTGAAATTCTAATCCTCCTGCCTCCCAGATACAGAGTGATCTTAATTTATAACCATTATGTGGATTTTTTTTTTACATATGAAGTATTTGAAAGTTGTAGTAATATCTACCTCAATTGATAATTTTCCCTCATAAGGTACTAGATAATATTTATTGTGAAGTTCACCTCCCAAGGAGTACAGTAGTTCCAAATTGCATAGTAACTATGTGAGTTACTATAGTACTATACTTCCTTTGTCCAATCACTCTTACATTGTTGGTATAGTCAGTCACTGTACTTTTTTTGGACCATAGTGTATTAATTTTTTTTTGTTTTGTTTTGAGACAGTTTCTCTGTGTAGCTATGGCTGTCCTGGAACTCACTCTGTAGATGAGGCTGGCCTCAAACCCATAGAGATCCTCCTGCCTCTGCCTCCCTCATGCTGGCGTCAAAGGCGTGTGCCACTACCCCCCAGCCAGAGTATATTAAACTTACTTGAAAAAAATTCTTATGAAAGGGGTTGAGAGATGGCTTGGGGGACAAGGTGCTTACTGTGTAAGCCCAAGGATTGCTGCTCACCCCCTGCTTCCACTTCAAAGCTCAGTTTGATGGCCCTGTGTGTCACTCCAGTGCTGGTAGAGTGGAAACAGGAGGGGCTCAGGGCCTTGCTGGTATTGAAGGTATGTGATTTTGCACCAGTTGTGATGGTGTACACACGTTGTCTCAGCTATTGGTAGTTGAAATAGGAGGTTCCCTTGAACTTGAAGTTGGAGGCTTGCCTGTGCAACATGGGGATACTACATGTCAGTCTGTTTCTGTCTGTCTGTCTCTGAATTGCACAGACACACAAATACAAAAGTAAATAAGATAGGCTAGAAAATAAACAATGAAGTATTACATAGAATAAGAACAGTAAGATTGTGCCTATTTTTTTTAAAAATGATGACATGTTACCTTGATTAAAAAAATTGATAAAAATCAAACCCGAGTTATATCTGGCCACTGAGAAGTAAAAAATATTAGAAACCACAAATAATATACCGGATAGGATGTATCTCATTCCTGTGGAATATTTCTACAGGATGACCATGGCTGTCACTCAAAAACAGTGAGCTTTGCCACATCCAACAAAACCATGGCTGAACTCCTAAGTAAACAAGATGGCTAGTCCTAGTTTGGGTTCTATCTCTGCCAGGGTTGATTACCTCTGCTGGTTCTCATTTCTGATGGTTGCTTCCTTATTTATCAGAATTTACTCTAAGAGTTTTAAAGCTCTGTTGCACTCTAGAGAGTTTGGCTCTTTTGCTGTAACCCCCCCCCCCTCCCCGCCCAACACACACACCAAGAGGCACGACCACACGCAATAATATAGAATCACAATCACAGGTGCCACCCTGCCTCAGCTTCCCAGGTTGCAGGAGTGAGACACCATGCCCAGCTACATTGTACATCCTTTATGTTTCAGACCAAGAATGGAAGGAGTCTAAACAGGTAGAAGCCCCTCGCCAGGCTAATTCCAGTACATGACTTCCTAGTTCCAGAGATGTGGCAAGTGCATCATGTGGTGCCTTTGCAACCTTCTAGCAAGAACAGATAACTCCAGGCCTGGGTACCCCACCAGGATGCCTGCGTTACCTTGGATTTGTGTTTGGATCTCACAACACTTTACTGTCTTGTCTAATGTTCAATACCTGCCGTACTGTTTCACAAAAACATGAGAGTTTATTTTTAGTTTGTTTAACTAGCCTATTATGATGGGAAATAGAGGATAAGTTTTTTGTTTTGTTAATATGTGGTGGGTGTGTGCACCTGGGAGCAGGTGCCCAGGGTCCCCAGAAAAGGGCAGAGGACTCACTGGAGCTGGAGTTACTGGCTGTTGTGAGCTGTCTGACTTGGTTCTGGGCTCTGAACTCTGCTGCTGCAAGACCAGTGCCCTTAACCTTAACTTCTGAGTCGTCTCTTCAGCTGGCGAGGTTAACTGCACATTTTATATAGATATCTACACAGACTTTACATTGTTTAATTTATCGCTTTTAGTGTATGTGTCTGTGTCCATGGCATGTGTGAGGAAGTCAAGGGAATACTTTCAGGAATCTATGCTCTGCTTCCACTGGAGGGTTCTATGGATCAAATCCACCAGTCATCTCACCAGTCCTAAATTTAATGAATAAATGGTAAGCAAGTTTGCTCATGAAACCCCAAATATCATCTAGGCAGCAATTTACATGAGAATTGAAAGAAAGGGGGAAAATCCCACAGAAAATTTTCATTTAAAACTAGTAATAAGGCTGAGGAGACGGCTCAATGCAGAGAGCACTTCACTTGCTGCACAGAGGATCAGACCTAAGTCTAGATCCTCAGAAGTTTCTAGAAGCCAAATGAGAGTGGCAGCATGCCTGTGATGTTGGTGCTCCCTAAGCCACTGGGGCAAGCTCTTTGCTCAGTGGGGCAAGTTGAGCTCTTTGTTCAGTTAAAGACCTGCCTGGTAAGTGGAGAGTGAATGAGGAAGGCACCTGGAAGGTACTTCTGTCCTGCGCATACTGGGGAGAGGCTCCTGGTAACAGGGTTATGGATGTATCTCAGTTGGTAGATTCCTTGCTTGCTAAGCATGAAGCCTTAGGTTTGATTCCTGGTGTTATAAAACAGGGTATGGAGGTGCACACCTATAATCCTGGCACTAGAAAGAATACCCTGAGTTCTAGGCCAGCTTGAAACCCTGTATCAAGCAATAGAAAGAACCTCCTGATACACAGACTATGTATTAGAACTTCTCCAAGCTCATAACATAAGCTATGTCTAGGCTTTCTCAATTTTCCAGAAGAGAACATAGAAGCTAGGAATTTAAATAAAACAGCATCTTAAACAGTTAATCAATGATATAGCCAAAATTCATATCTTGAACTCTCTCTGTCTGAATCTGATCTTTAACCACTGCCCTACTTATTTTGCTTGTAATTTGTTCCTGTTGCTGCTTGTGATCTTATAGGAACACCAAACCGATAGGTACCTGATAGGGTGAAGACCTAGCAAAAATGAAGACTCTGGGCTGGGCGTGGTGCACAGTCCGTGCAAGAGGACTGTCCCAAGGTTGAGGCCAGCATGGTTTATATTATCAGTTCTGGACCATCCAAGGTTAAAAAGTGGCAAATGCTCTCAAAAGTGACACTCTGAGGAATGTAAAACTGTAAAATATCCTTCAATAAGATAACCAGCAAAGTTCTGCCTGCTGAATTCAAGCCCACAGATAAAACTTAGAGAAGACTGAAACCAAGGGGGGCAAAAACCCACAAATCAATTGCAACTGTTTTGTTTTGTGCTAAAAATCTCAGACTGCAGTGATTATAAAACACATTAGTGTTCCTCAATTAGCAGCCAAACGCTTGTTTCAATAATTCACAAGAAACGACTTACACCAAGACTGTTAGTGTTGTCGAGTAAGCCTCTGAAAGACCCAGGGAACCAGGCGCCACAGCGTATTGATGAGAGCGGAGCAGGAAGTCTGATTAACCTCTGAGATGTCTCAGCTGCCGCACGCACGCCATCAGTGCTAATGGAGCCATTCCCACGCAGAAGTAGCCAAGCCTTTATCCGCAAGGCCTTTCAGTGTGAACATGTCTGCTTGTGTATCCTCTGTGTTTGCCCCTGAGCGCATCAGCTCATGCTTTTATGCCAATGAATATGAGTATAACTAGGGCCCATAAAAATGGGAAGAAATGCAGGAAAACAAGCCATAAGTCAGCGGCAAAAGTCACCAAGAAAACAAGAGAAAGGCAGTATATTTCAGCCATGTTGGCATGAAGACTTGATGTGTTTTGGAAAGAACAACTATTATCTTTTCTTTTTAAATACAACCCCTAAACTTTATAGCAATTTGTGTAGTAAGTTATGAGACTGTAGGCATCATTGCAGCTGTGTAAATTAGGGGTGTGTGTGTTTGTGTGTGTGTGAATGCTTTCCGCATCAATGAAGACGTTAGAATGAACATAAGTAACATTTAATCCCAGCACTCAGGAGGCAGAGCCAGGTGGATCTCTGTGAATTCAAGGCCAGCCTGGTCTACAGAGTGAGTTCCAGGAAAGGTGCAAAGCTACACAGAGAAACCCTGTTTTGAAAAACCAGCCAGGACTGCACAGAGAAAGCATGAACATAAGTAAAAATTTAAGTCATTCTTAAGGTTTATATTGAGTTAGAATGAAGCACACCTACAAGCACTTTATGCACCATGAGTAGCATATATGATGCTGTAGTGCTCACACACCTTCACACTTTATCTAAGTAGCTAGTGCACACAGACTTGATACAAAAATATAATGAGGGCAACAGAGAAACCGCTTATGGAGATGATAAATTGCACACGTCTTGGGCCAATCTGAACTATTTAAATTCGTTAAGGTTCTTCAAGCCTGATTGTTTTGCAAGAGTGCTCTCAACAGAACAGTACTGTAGCATGTGACCATTACAGCCTTTACTCCCAGAGACGTGTATGTTCTCTTCCAGTGCAGGAGGCTGTCCCGGGGTCCCTTGTCATCAGTTGTCCCCCTTTCCATTAGCGCTAATGGTGTTGCTCTCTCCAAACTGTTGTCGTTAAGTTATCAGGTAACAAGAAAAAACACGGACATTTTTATTAAATCAATTGACCACAGTGGGGTGAACACACATTAATATAAGACTCTTAGGAGAGAGCTAGTGAACATAAATCAAGATTCTATAATTGTAATCAAATAATCTCATTTGAACAATTTCTTAGCACCAGCATAGAAAATTAACCTCTTTTACAGTCCACATAAGAAAATTCAGATTGACTGTTATGGAAAGCAGCGAGAAAAATCTAAAAGTATAAATATTAATTTGAAGTGCTACTCTGAAATGAAAAAAATATATAAACCTTTTCAAGGGTTCCAAGTATCTATGCAATAATAGGTTTATCTTTGTAGTGGTGTAGTAAGACAAAAAGACAAATAGAACTAAGGAACACACACACACACATACAAGCACGTGCACGCGCGCATACACACGTTAGATTTCATGACCTACTACAGGTAAGGTTATATTCCCCATAATTATTTCCCCACAAATATTCCTTAATATGTCCTTGAAATCCAGGCTCCTTGGTCTACTCTATTGAGAAGAATATTCTTCAAAAATATATTTTTGGTATAGTTTTCTCTCTTTTAGCTCTCTTTTTTTTTTTTCAGGAAAAAAAAACAACTGTTACTTTAAGAACATTTTTGTTCATGGTTCATTTCTGTTTTTCTTCCGTGGTACAGATGAACCTAGGGCCTCTGGCATGTGAGACAAACTTCACTGAGCTGCAGCCCTGCCCTGATTTCTATTAATAATTGTCAGGACAGTTAGTTGAGATTTATGAATAAGGAAAAACATATGCAATAGCTCTCCTCACTTGCTTTGAGTGGAATAGTGTAGCAGAAACACTACATTGGATCCAAGGCAACCTGTCAGCTACATTTCCTATTGGACATCATTTGCTTAGTAATTATTGTGGAGGGGGAAAGTAATTCCCATCATTCCTCTTAGTGTGTAGTCTTTTATAATAGCATAGGTGTACTTTTAAAATTATAACCTTTTCCCACTTAGAAATTCTGTCAATGTCTCAGTTGTTATCTTGGTGAAATGAATATAAACTTTGATATACAATATTTAAAAAGCGTTGTCACATGACAGTTCCCTTCTTATTATATCATACGTTCTAAAATATGTACATGAAGGGATGCAATAGAAGAAATATTATAGTAACTATATAGCTATTAAATTCAACAACTCTGCGCTTGTAATCAGTATCATTTAATTATGACATTATTGCCAACACACCGACTTGGCACATCATCGTGACTTTTCCTTGAACTCTTCTAAGCAGGTTTCAAGATCCTGTTGAATGGCAGACTGAAAATCTGTGGTCTTTATTGCTATATAAAATATTGTAAGAGAATAAGGACTTGAGGCTTGGAAATGATTCAAGTGCATATTTCCTGTTTAGAGTTTGCATTTTGTTGTAAGTCATACATTTTGTCTTTTGTTATGCAGACATTGAAAAGTGGTCTGACGATGGTTGGGAAGGTGGTGACTCAGCTGACAGGCACACTGCCCTCAGGGGTGACAGAAGATGATGTTGCCGTCCACAGCAACTCCAGACGGAGCCCCTTGGTGCCAGGCATCATCACCGTCATAGACACTGAGACAGTTGGAGAGGGCCAGGTAAGAACTCCCGAGGAATGACATTCATGTTACCTGCAGGGCTTGGACCCCAAAGGTACTTGGCCCGAAGAGATGAATAATTTGTAGTTTTAGAAATTTGAATCAATTCAGGTCAGATTTTTTTCACCTATTCTAGGAAAACAAGGGACATTTCCCACTTGTTAGTTCAATCATCATTAATGCTTAAAACCTAAAGGGAAAGTTGCAGAAGTCCTCACTCTTCTCCCTCAGAACATGTGTTTGTAAATACTTTCATACGTGTTTGTGCTATTCTGTTCACACTGGTTTTTGGTATAATGTCATGTTATAATCTACATCCCAAGATTAATAAATTTCTCCTAAAATGAGAAGTCCGGACAGCAGACTGAGGCAAGTCTTTCCTGTGCAGATTTGGTGGAAATAAGACAATACGCAGCAGTGGCTAGTCTGACATAGGTCAGTCTGTTATATGAAGTTTTAAGGCCTTTTCTCTCTTTTAGCTCCTGGAAGACAAGGTTTCATGTTGTCAGGTTATCAGCAGCAGTCCTCCTGCCCGAGTGTTCTGAGTGCTGGGCTCGTGGGCAGGCGCACCATGCCCAGCTAACATATGCCCTTCTACACAGTAGAAACCATAAACAAAACCAAAAAAAACAAAACACACAGAAGTTTGAAATTGCAAACCACAAAATATACATGACAATAGCCTGGGGAAACTCCTCTGTCTTCAGACAGTAGGTTAAGTCTAGTTGAGTTTTGTCTGGTTCAAGGACACATGCAAGAAGTTTTCCTTTGTGTCTTAGGTTGTTGGGAGGATGTTTTTGACAAAACTTCTCCCACCTCTCTTCAGTCAGTCATGAAATTTCTTTCATGTTCTAGCCTTTAAAATACTGAAAGGACATAATTTTTAAATCTTAATACTTAAGGTTGTTGTTATAACAAATATAATCTAAAATGTTTTAAATTGAAAAGTACTAGGTTTATGAAACACACCATTAATGTAGCATACGTATTCATTTTTTCCTTTTCATTTCTTTTCTCTCTCTCTCTCTCTCTTTTTTTTTTTTTGGTTTTTCGAGACAAGGTTTCTCTATGTAAATAACCCTGGCTGTCATGGAACTTGTTTTGTAGACCAGGCTAACCTCGAACTCACAGAGATCTGCCTGCCTCTGCCTCCCAAATGCTGGGATCAAAGGCATGCGCCACCCCGCCTCGTCACATATTCATTTTTTATTCAGAAAAAAAATGCTTAGAAAATTTGTTAGAATTGACCTTTAGTATTGCATGTTCTGTTGAGGAGTCTGCTTCCACTATATACGTACAGGTCAACATCTTTTTTTTTTTTTTTTTTTTTTTGAGACAGGGTTTCTCTGTGTAGTTTTGCGCCTTTCCTGGAACTCACTTTGTAGACCAGGCTGGCCTCGAACTCACAGAGATCCGCCTGCCTCTGCCTCCCGAGTGCTGGGATTAAAGGCGTGCGCCACCACCGCCCGGCTACGGGGCAGCATCTTAATGAAACATTACATTGGCAGCTAATTGTGTGCTATTTCCTTTGCAAGGATTAAAAGGTACTTGAGAAAGACTGACTTCGGTGCAATGAAAACAAAAAATGCTTTGAAATTCTGTGTTGTTAAATTTGGTTATTATTATTTTTTTTAAAGATTTATTTATTATGTATACAGTGTTCTGCCTGCATGTATCCCTGCATGCCAGAAGAGGGCACCAGATCTCACTGTAGATGGTTGTGAGCCATCCTGTGGTTGCTGGGAATTGAACTCAGGACCTCTGGAAGAACTGCCAGTACTCTTAACCACTGATCCATCCCTCCTGCCCCCTGGTTATGTTTTATTTAAAATTTCAGATTAACCAAATACATATATGCTTGTATTGATTTTTTTCTTTTTAAATATGTGCTAGCAAACTTTTCTATTAAATGTTAGGATGGCAGTGGGGGGTTGGGGGTTAGGGGGTTGGGGGGTGGAACAAACATGAACTCATGTGGAGAGGCACATACATATATTCTTTTTTCAAATGCCACTTGGATGTGATACCTATAGTCCCAGCTACTCAGCATTTGAGCCCTGGATTTCAGGGGCCAGCCTGGAAAACAGTCAAGGGATGTGGGAGTTATGGGAGGAGGGACGGAACTTTTGGTTTTGTAATGTGGAAATAAATGCATTATAGATTGTATATTTGCAAAAGTTTATCTTTCTTCGGTGAACAAATCAAAGAAGCTTTTCAAGACTTATCACATGTAAAATTGTTTTTTCCATCGTTGTTTGGGAAGCATCACAATTTCAAGATAGGTGTTCAGAAAATAAATAAATTCTATGCCAGTATAAAAGAACTATTTTTCAAAGGAATTAGAGTCATGTAGTCCCAGGCTGCCTCTTCATTTTCCCGAGTCTGTTTTTCAGCAGGACCCCTCTGTCTCCGTTTGGAGACCCAGGATGTTTTACACTGAACGGCAGAACATTAAAGGGATGGTGTCTCAGAGACTCCCCAGTCCGGGTCCATTCCACTGCTGTTTCCCCATCTCTGCCGTGCTCGTCCCTCCTGTCCACAGCTCAGGAGTTACCCGTCGTCCTCTGTGATTTAAATCCACTGGGACTTAATAGAGTTTCACATTCACTCTGGCAGCATATAAAATCGGATGCACCATCTTTCTGTTGCTGTATTGATTAATTTGATTTTATGGTGATGGGACCTTGCATGGTAACTGCATTAAGGAGGAATGGATTTAATTGACTTTGTGTCCATTTTCATCTTTGTTACTTTCATGTTTTATTTAAAAGCATTTCTTGACTGGAGAAGTTAAGTGGTATGATTTGCTTTTTACACATTTATGTAATCGAAGTTAGCAATGTGGCAAAACCAATAAGTGAAATAAAATACTTCAGAATGGTGGCGTAAATCTTAGCTAGGTTTTGCCCCAGACCAGGTATTCTTATACACCTTGTGTTAATTAAAGTATGTTATATTGTTTAGTATAGTTGTTGATGCAAATTATGACTTCACTCTGCTTAGATAAGTGGCCAGCTTCTACCTTAGGAGTATTATCATGGGCTAATGATGGTTTTAGTGGTCTGAAGCTTTAGGCACAATAATGAAACACTGCAGAGGACCCTTTCCAGTGGGTGTACTTGTTTGACCTTATGAATTCTGTAAGGAGAACAGTTATGGTACCTCATATCATACCTTGAGTTTTCCTGTATATCAGAACCAATGTGTTTTTTTTGCTGGAAGCAGTACAGTTTTTAGTGTTGCTATCAAATTAAGTAAAATACTAATTGCCTCAATTTCTAATCACATTTAACAGAAACTGGACAAATGACAAAAATATTTCACAGAAAAAATATTTAAATTTAATCTGCACAACTCATTTTAAGGAAATTGCAAGTTTAAACTACATACTAGACTCTAAGAAATTCAAAAGTTTGGGGATATATTCTATACTTGCATTATTAATTATTATTAATTTTGAAGTAATTCATTCCCATCCCTCAACCCTAACTACATCTCATTCTCTTCATTTGTATTTTGAGGGTACATGATATTTATTCATATCATTTTATTTTTTTGAGACAGTCTACTTTGTAGCTGCTTGGCTTGGAACTTCACAAGGCCTGCCTCTGCCTCCCAGACGCTGGAATGAACATGTGTACCACTGCACCTGACTGTTACTTCCTTCTCTGACAACTGTGAATGTACTTCTCCACACTTGTGTGATGTTGAAAGCGTCACATAAATGGAGTCAAATGTTGATGGTTTTAACGTTCATTTGTAGAGTCGTTATTTCATCAACTTTCTTTTCATATATTTCTATCTGAATATCGAATCAAGAGATTCTTTGCTAGAGAGACTCTGACTTATGTTGGCCAACTGGTGAATCCCCAAATACTCCTTGTATATTCTATAAAGAAGTCACATTGGCAGGAAAAACGTGGGGATGCTGTCCAGTACTGGCATTCGGAGATGCAGTTTATCTCCTGGCATCTGTATAAGTATATAAAGATGTTATCAGCATAGGCCCAGAAGCCTTTCAAATGATGCTGTGCACATTGGCACTTGCATTTGAAATCTTTAGAAATGGGGAAGAGAAGGACAGAAACGATGTTTGAAGAAATGATAGTCAGTTGTAGTGGCATAATCCTTGAGTCCCAAGAGTCACAAAGTAGAAGCAGAAGGCAGGTCTTAGCTCAAAGAGGTTACCTGTGAGCCTGAGTTACACAGCAAGACTTTCGTCTATGAACACAGAACACACAAGAGAGATTGTCCCTGAAACAGAAAGCAGAAAGATATGCACACGTGCCTCCTTTTGTTTCATTTTTAGTATCTGGAGTTCTTTGGAGTGTGATCTCTTTCTGGAGAAAATCTGCATTTGAACAAGGGCCTACATTTTACTGGAATTCATTCAACATTGACAAAAGGGGATGTTGATATATATATATATATCATAGTCTACTAAGGGACCACTAAGAAATTACTAGAAATAGTTAACACCCAAACCTTCCTGCCTTAGCCTCCTTAGACCAGGGATTATAGTGTACACTAGGATCCTCCATTAAAGCTATTTTTTTAGCATAAAAGATGATCATTTGGATAACAAATAACAAATAGTTTTGATGTATTAAAGTACATAGCATATTTAAGCCAACAATATCAATGATCTCTGTTTTACTTTTATAAATAGAATCAAATTTAAAGGTATCTAGAAAGATTAGATTAAAAGCTACCATTTTTATGAAAGTACTTTATGTAAGCAACAATAGTATTATAATAGTTGTATTCAGCCATTACATGGAAAGTTGTATGTCTTTCTATCTGTCCTTCCTGTTCCCGCACCTACATGCACACATGTGCATGCTTGTCATGTCATACATGTGGGGTCAGAAGGCTACTTATAAATGTTAATTGTTTCCTTCCATTGGACCTCAAGTAGTCAGATTTGTGGGACAGGATTTTTAACTGCTGAGCCTTCTTAATAGCCCAATACATGTTTTCTTTGCACAGTCAAAATAATTAAACTTAGGAGATCTCTAAATACTTATCAAAAAACAGTGGCTTTGTAAATAAATCACAGGTCAATCAAAGATGCTTAATAAAAAACAGAAAGTATTTCGAACTTGATGAAGGAAAAATGTACTGAAATTTATGGTATTTTGTGGAACCAAATGCCGAGATTTCAGTGCTTATTCTGAGAGGGAGGTACTTTAAACTTTCTCCTTAAGAAAATGGTAACACTAAGAAGAGAATAGTATAGCCTTTTTAAAAAAATGAAGGAATGCTGGGTAGTGGTGGTGCACGCCTTTAATCCCAGCACTTGGGAGGCAGAGTCAAGCAGATCTCTGTGAGTTCAAGACCAACCTGACCTTAAAAGTGAGTTCCAGGACAGATAGGACTGTTACAAGAAGAAACCCTGTCTCAAAAAACCCAAACCAAAACCCAAACCAAACCCAAACAAAACCAAACCAAACCAAACAAAAACCAAACCAATAAACAAACGAAATGAACCCCCCCAAAAAAACATATAAAGGAAGAAATAATGATCTGAACATAAATGAGGGAAAAATAATTTTAAAAAATCACAGAAAATAATTTTTTGAAAAGATAACACGATTATTATATTCATAAGCTGAATTAGAGGTCTATCCAGAGCAATATGACAAGAATTTTAAAGATAACAATTGAAGACATTTTATAAAACAGATTATTACTATAGTTTATTTAGTATTATATATGTTTATTTAGTGTCATTGAACTGTGAAGTTGAAATGAGTGACCTTTACGGCATGTGAATTGAACCCAAGTAACTCTGCAATAGTGCATTCCTTTTTGTGCCTTTTAGGCAAAGAACCAACTCTGTATCTTTCAGGGTGACTACTTTGAGCCCCTGTAGGACATGGCCAGCATTCTTGAGACTAGATTTTTGCTTTGCCCCCAGGCTGGCCGGGAATCTTGCCTTATCTTCTGATTTTTCTGTACATGGTATAACAGTATTTTCTCAAAGTGTCCCTTTTTAAATTACAATTCAAAATCCAACATGACTCAGCTGGTAAAGGTGCCTGCTGCCATGCCTGATGACCTGAGTCCAATTCCTGAGATCACATGAAAGGAAAGAACTGCTTCCTGCAAATATCCTGTGACCGACACTTGTGTACACACAGAATAATATAATTAAGTGTAAAAGATATCAAACATAGAACAAACTTATGTATCATACTCCATTATTATTTGTCTTATTTTTTATATTTTTCATTCATTGACTTTTTTTATTTTTTCAAGACAGGGTTTCTCTGCATAGTTTTGGTGCCTGTCCTGGATTTCACTCTGTAGACCAGGCTGACCTCAAACTCACAGAGATCCACCTGACTCTGGCTTCCAAGTGCTGGGATTAAAGGCGTGCACCACCACTGCCTGGCCCATCAACCTCTTTTTAATCATAGGGGAAATAGTGATTTTTTTCCCCAGCAAATCTCTCTGTAGTCATATTAAGTGGCTGTTTTTGGAGATTATCCATGTTCTATGAGGGGCGTATTGGATTGGTGATGGAGTTCACTTGGATGAGAATAAATTCAGTGCAGTGCAAGCATCTTGTTGAGGGATTGAGGAGTGTGTGCTGTGGCCTCTAAGCCATTAGTGACTAAGGTTAACCTTCATCCTTTCTTTTTCAAAGGTGCTTGTGAGTGAGGACTCAGACAGTGATGGCATTGTGGCCCACTTCCCTGCCCACGAGAAGCCCGTGTGCTGTATGGCTTTTAATACTAGTGGTAAGTTTTTAAAAAAAACATTTATCTCATGAGTTTTCTAGCTAATAAGTTTGGAGATGGAAAGTCTGTAATCAGGCTGGCATTGGAGAGATAGCCCAACAGTTAAAAGCCCTTGCTATGCTTGTAGAGGGCTGATCAACTTCTACTGCTAGCACCTATATAGCGACTCACCAGCTGCCTGTAACTTGAGCCTCAGGGGATCTGACACCCTCTTCAGGCCTCTGTAGGTACTGTATGCATATGTACAAACCACACAAAGAAATACGGTGCATGTGTATCGTAAGTAATAATACTACCAGTGATCTTTGAATGACTAAGTTTACAATTCATCCCACCTTGCCCTATTCAGAACTGTATTTTAATTATCTGTAAACTGATGTTTGAAATGCTGCAGTTAATGTAAGCAGTGCTCTTGAAGTCACATTAATTTTGCCAAATATCAGTATTATAGACTAGAATCTTAATGTAACACAGACACATGTTCTTTGTAACAGGATTCATGTTTCCACATGACATCATACAAGCTTACTTTTAGTTCTTTCTCTCTGTCCTTCTCTCCTATTCTTCCTTTCTGCTTGCTCCTAAGGCATGTGATGATGACTAATGTTAATAAAAATGTGGAACACCCTATTACCCACTTTTCCTCTAAATTTTTTTATCAAGAAAATATTATCTCTGAGCTAGAATAGTAGTTTTGTACTCACCCACTGTTAGGAACAGTTCTCCTCAAGCAAGAACCAGCCAGTTCTTACACTATAACAACGGGCAGAGTGAGTGCCGGCCTCTTGGTTTGCATTCTGTGCTGGAAAGTACTGACATTGGTAGAAGTAAGTGAAGCCTAAAACACATGATTTCTAAACAAAAGATGAAAGTGGTGTTTGTCCCAGAGCTGATTCTGTCTTTGTAAATTTATAGGCTTCAGGTCCTGCTCATTTGGGTGATGGATCTGAGAGTCTTAGCATTTTTATCTTATTTTTCAGAAATTATGATATCTCTTGAATTGATGGGAAAGTTCTGTTTTTTTTCCCATTTTAAAATAAAGAATGATAACAAGAAAGTCATATCGAGCACTTTTGACTAATCTTCTTTCCGATATCCTAATTAGTCATTTTTGATGAAGAGAGATTTTTATTATAGTGGTTGATCAGTAAGATTGATTTAATTAAGATGGACAAATAGCTATTGAAATTCTCTGAATGTTAGGGGAATGAAGTTCAAATTGGAGACATGCTCTGAGAATGTGTTCACTTGTATCTCTCTGCTTTGGGTAACCAGCATGACTCATTGTAATTCTGTTATGTCCACTTTCCTTTGCATTATCTGCATTTCACATCACCCCTGAGCACCCCTGATGTGGGAAGCTACCTGTTCTCCTGATTCTGATGTTACATTGTACACAGAACATACTCGTGGTGTAAAGCTAGCCATCACCTCGTCACTGTCCACAATGAGTTCTCTGTGGTTTTAGTTTGAAACCTGCAACTTTCCATTTGCTGTTTGACTTGCATGCATGATAAGATTCAAACAGAAATGTTGTATTTACTCTTCTGTGTTCCTAGAGCATTGGGTTTATAAGTATGATATAATTTATTTGGAGATGATCACTTTTTTTAGCTGTTTTTTTCCTTTGTGAGCTTGTAGCTTCCTTTCAGCTCAGGATCTGTTGTCGTCCAATCCATCTTTCTATGTCTGCTGCCTGGCGAGTATCTCAGTGTATTGGCATGCTTATGGAATACATTCTTTTTAACTTGTCCCAGCTATAGATTCATGGCTCTGCGGTTTATTCTCTGCTCTGGAAATAAAAGAGGATGGTCAATAGAATAGTTTTTTGTTGTTGTTGTTTGTTTTTGAGGTCCTGGAGACTGAACAGGGACTGACTGGCTCGTGCTAGGCAAATGCTGTCACTGAGCTGTATACCCAGCCAGCTTTATTCTTCTTTCTTCCCTCATTTTCCTTTTGCTATTTGACAAAGAAGCTACTGACCCAGATGGGCTGATTATTTCTGAGTCAATGCTCCACTGAAGTATCTGTTATACCTGTGAGTTATGCACAATGATTGATGTGTATTTTTTTATAATTTGCTTTTATTATATAATTATCTGAATATGTTGGAAATTGCTATATAGCACACACATGCACACACACACACACACACACACACACACACACACACACACACACACACACCATGATCAGTATTTACTTGTTTGTTCTTGTACTTGTTTGTGGTGCTGAGGATTGTAACCAGGGCCTCCCAAGTGCTAGGTAAGTGACTCCACCATTAAGATAACTCTGTTTACTTTTTTTTTTTGTTTTTTCGAGACAGGGTTTCTCTGTGTAGCTTTGCGCCTTTCCTGGAACTCACTTGGTAGCCCAGGCTGGCCTCGAACTCACAGAGATCCGCCTGGCTCTGCCTCCCGAGTGCTGGGATTAAAGGCGTGCGCCACCACCGCCCGGCTCTGTTTACTTTTTAAAAGAAAATCTTAAGTGTTTATTTGGCCTTTTTAATAAATATTATTCTAAAGAATTGATCCCCACCAACTTCTCCATTTTTTGAGAAGCGTTTTTGGTACTAAAGTATTGAAAGCCATCTGCCAAAATATGAATTCTGATTTTACTGGTTTCATCTCAACCCTCTCTTTGGCCATTGCCACTACACTGTCCTGTGAAGACTTGGAGACACAGTTGAAGGGACAGTATCTCTGTGTCACTCTTAGTTAAAGTGGGGTCTTAACAAGGAAGGGAAAGTAAACTCTATGGCGGAAAGACAGGATGCTGGTTGAAATATAGAAATGAGCCTCTTGGAGGTGTCATAACTTTGGGGAAGTCAGTTCTTGAAAAGGAAATCAGTTCTAAGTGTTGACTAAAAAGGTGATTAGCTAGGAAATAACAACTCTGTTGCCTGTGTAGAAATAAATGCTCGCCAAGGAGTGAGGCCCGGAGTGCAGGGCATGCCTGGTAAACATCTCAGAACACTGGACAACGAAGTTATTTGCTCATTGTATGGGAGCTTTGTTTTTGAGTGTGCATCATTTTGGCAGGGTTTTAGAAATGTCTTCTGTGTGTACAGTGTTTCACTTAGGTAGTGCCTTTATAAGGAAGCCTTGCTCAGTTTGAACAATGGTATGTTGTAGTTGGTAGGCAGAGAAAAAAAATGTGTGTGATTATCTTTCCTGAATGTATGTCATGTGCATACAGTTCCCATGGGGGCCAGAAGAAGGCTTCAGCTCCTCTAGAACTGGAGTTACAGACGATTGTCAGCTGCATGTGTGTCCTGGGGCCCGACCCCAAGTCCTCTAAAGATCAGTACGTGCCGCATCTCTCCAGCCCTGACAGAGGTGTATGCAGTTGCTTACATTTCATCTGAGATCATTATTGCTACTATTTATTGCTTAATGAGGAGCAAGAGGATAGAAAACACTCAGTTGTCTGTGATGAGGGAAACAGCCAGTTGTTGGTGATTTGGAAATCTTGATTTTTTTTTTCAATTTTAAAGCAAGTATTAATTAGGAGCTACTCAGTTTTTTAGTCAGTCATCAGCTGACCTCCTTCCTTCTCTGTCATATGTAGCCCAGGCTGGTCTTCATCCTTCGCCTGGGGTCGTGGGACATAGGCTTGGTCTACCATTCCCAGGTTTCATTACTGTTTTCTCTTTTCTCAGTGCTTCCTGTTCCTCCTTGGATCTAGGTGTGCATGTTCACACATGACGTGTTCTTGACAGTGGAGTGCACAGATGTCTAAATAGGTAGCTGTTGTTCCTTCTCCTCCATGCGGTTCAAATGTTCAGGGAAAATGAAGTGCCTTTGGTTACTTTCCGTTGGAGTCCTCCCTTTCAGATACACTACTAAGCTTATTAGTGTGATGATATAAAATGAGATTTTTTTCCTCCACTAGCGGAATTATACTGCTAGGTACTATGTTGTATAATTTGAGTAGATCTTAATGCAATATGTGTGTTTTTGTCTTTAAATCGACTTATTTGGTGTATTTAATTATTTATTTGAACTGTAGGTTATAGACCCTTTACTAAATAGACGTGTTTTCCTTTACCCAGGCATGTTTATATGTTTATTTATATCAAGAAAATTTACATCAGTCCTCTAATTAATTCCCTGATATTTAAAAATGGCATTTCCATGGGGCATGTAATAGATGACAGATAACCATAGTGTTTGGAATATTTTTTTGAAGTTTAGGGAAGTTCTTTAAAGAAACAATCAGGACGTATAATAAAGAAGAGGGTGGCGTTTTGTCTCTAAAGCTGGCCCTTTGCAGACCAGCTTTCTTGTATGAATTATGTCATACTCAAGGATATGGTATAAAGAATTTGTTTTAGTCTTTTTCTTTAAAAAGAGACATAGTCTTAGATGACAGTTATATGAACATGTTCTGGACAATGAGAGCAAGAACTAGCCATACTCCTGGGCAGTGTTAAAAATACTGTAAACTGTACACGATGGAGTACCACCACCATGCCGATTAGCGAGGCAAGTAGTCGGGTTGGCGGGTGACTGGTGGCTCTGTGCTCTGTGGGACCTTTCAGAAACGAAATTAAGAGATGCCAGTAAACAGACTTGTGAAACTTCTTGTTGAGCAGCTGTGTTGAGTTTGTTTTTTAATTTCACATTCCCACACTTGTTTATTAGCTGTGACTCTGAGTCCAGAATCAAAACAAATATTTTAATGGTGGTATTTATGATTTGTTTAGAAATGCCTTGCTGAGACCTTTGTAGATTCAATATGGGTGGTATATGGCTGTTCCTTTCAATTATTTAGGTACAAAATGAGTAACATTTTCTAGAGAACTTTTGTGTGAAAGCACTACTTTGTAGACCAGGTTTTGGTTTTTAGCACTGTTGAGGAAGAAGGACAGTAGCCACATTGCCACTCTCTCCGTAAGCGCACACTGTCCTGCTGTCCTGTATCACTGCGAGCATTCATAGGACAGTGCTTGGCCCTGCATGTCACCACCCATTTTCACCAAATTTAGAACTTTTAGG